TGCTGGTCGCTGAGGAAATACATCAACTTCATGCTGTGGATCGCCGGATCGGCTTTCACCGTGGACGAAGCGGATATTGGACGAAATCCAGCCCGGGGTCATCACATGTGGTTGCCGCAAGCTCGCCTTTTAACCTTAAACCGCATAAACATTTAATTACACCAAATACACAAAATAATGTTCTTTTTAGCAACATCATATGACCCCTTTAAACTAACAGCAAACCTTCAATTGTACTCACTGCAAAAAAGATGATCCTAACTAAACATAGATTTGTTAAGTTTCCATAGTAATGATCCATGTAATCTCTCCAACTCTTTTAAAAATGTTTTATCATCAAAACATGTTCATGCAAAGTTTTCTTAATCATCAAATGTCTTTCTGTAGTGCACAACAACAACAATGTTATAGAATGGCTTGAAAATTAAGCTAATGTGTTTAACTATAGAAACTCATCAGAATTTTCAGGGGACATTTCAGAGAATGTTACACAAAGTTAATGGCACTGATGGCTTGCAGAGGTAAAGAAACAGTAACAACACAGCTATTCATTAACAAGTGAACATTTGTACAAATTTATTCTTGAAAAAACTTTTGTTTGTGCAGTTTCTCAAATCTTTGAAATTAGACCAGACTTCAGAAAGAACAAGTGTGTGCATGAAATACATTTAAAGTTATTATATTCTTAAGTTTATAAGGTTTTATTAAGTTTTTCCTCTTTCATTAGTATACACTAATTTTCCATATGTATAGCTAAGCAATAAAATCATTTTAAACTTCAAATATGGACTTGAATTCTGTAATTTGCTTTCTTTTTTTATACCATCAGCTCAACATCATGACAGTTTGATAACTTGTGTGTGTGTGTGTGTGTGTGTGTTTGTGTGCAAGTGAGTTTGTATGTATTTGCTCCAATAGTTCAGTGCTTGACATGTATATATTTTTCTTATTATTCATAGTCAAACTAAGGAAGAAAATGTTAATGCTGATGCTAATGATAGATTTCATTTGCAAAACTGACAAATGTGTTTACTTGCATCATAACTGGTGTATCTTAATCCATAATTGTTCAGATGGTAAAGGAAGATCAGTTTCACATCTGTGCCATACTGTACATTTGTGATCCATTAAATTATGATGCCTTGGTGTATGCATTAGTAGTGCAAAATTGTGAAAGTTTTACATTGACTATTGATAATTCTGTTATTTTCCCTTCTTTTCAGATTAAGAGTCTGGGTGTCATCCTTGACAGCACTTTATCTTTTGAGGCACATGTAAATAATATTACTCAGTCAGCATATTATCATTTGCGAAACACTGTCTTCGATCATCTCTTTCTGCTAATAGTACTGCTGTCCTTTCACATGCATTAGTTACATCTCGCATCGACTATTGTAATTTTCTTCTCAGTGGTGTTTTACAGAAACTGTCCAGAATTCAGCAGCTTGGATCATTACACGAACACCATTGTTTGTGCATATTTCTCCAGTGTTAAGGCAACTCCATTGGCTTCCAGTTCAATATATCGGATTCAATTTATGATTTTACTTTTCACTTATAAGGCTCTTCATAATCTTGTACCTTCATATGTGCATGAACTTCTTCGTGGGTATTCACCTACTCAATCTCTCAGGTCTTCTGCTTCTGTGACTTTAGTTGTACCATCTGTACATTTGACTACCATGTCTTAATTTTTAAATAATGTCTTAAAACTCATTTTTTAGATTAGCTTATTCTGATTGATATAGCTTTGTGTATTATTGTGCATAGTTTAATTTTCATTGATTGTTTATGTATTTACTATTTTATTATTTGTGAAGTGTCCTTGAGTGTTCAAAGGCACCCATAAATAAAATGAATTATTATTATTTTATTATATCTTCTTCAAATGAAACAATCTCCTCAACTGCACAGATGGCATTCATTTTTGACGGAGTCTGTTTATTACAGCAGCCTGTTATGTGAACATCTTTGTAGTGGAGGAGTCCTTGCCAAACCAGAAAAAGAAATAGCATTTCTGAAAAATATAATAATGGCAGTTTTTTTAGTTTATTTTTATTATTTAACACCAAACCAATATTTTTTATATATATAAATATACAGTAGATAATTAGAGCTGCTTAGTGACAGGCTGTAGCCTACTGGAAGGCTTTGCCATGGGCTCCTTGGTAAGACGGTTTGTGGTTAACAAAAACAAAATTTTTTTTTGTTGTTGTTTTTTTTACACTTTGTTCAACAACATAAATTGCATAAAGTTATAGGCCTACATGACTATGTGAAAGCCTATGTTTTCCAAACATG